TCTGAGAGCATCAGTTCTTCATCAGCAAGAAGATGCTTGCAGTATTCCCACGACCCCCAGTCAAATTAATAACAAGCTTGACACCAAGTGAGAGTCCTTGTCTCCAGATGCTCTGCCTGCCTTGCATCTATCTGCAAGACCACCTCCTTCCCCTCCTCCTTCCCCTCCTCCTCCCCTCCCCTTCTGTAACCACACTACAGCCTGGAGGAGCACAACGCTACCTGCATACAATCAGCACATGCACATACTGTACCACTGCAAGCGTGCTGCCATGATGGATTGCTTTTTCATCTCAGTAATGCACAAAAGCATTATTTGTCACTAGCCCAGAGGAAAGAGATGCTCTTTTAAAATTGACACTCTGCTCCCTGGCAGCGTCCCCAGCAAGCCCTATGGAAGTCAGCCCAGCTGCAGAGCGACTCATGCAGGAAGGTGCAGCATGCCAGTTGCTTTGGATCATTTACATTTGTCTCTGTTGCAGTTATTTTTGCACATCTTGTATATTTTGTAACTATACAATGTTTTAATGCATTTATATGCACACAGTATACTTTATGCATCAACTGAATGTGGACTAGTGTTGTGTACCTGCCTGTCACCTCGTAATTTTTCTTTGTTCCAGGAAGCAACAGTCTATTCAACTGCTTCTGCCTACAGGATATGGTTCTTGTTACTATTGCTAACTCTGAGAGACGAGACAGTCCAAGTAACTTCAAAACAGTGCTGATTTATTCAAAGGATCACAGGTAAAATTAACATTACACGCTCAGGTATCTTGCACCTCCAAACTGCACGCAGGCAGATGTAAGATGAAAGACCCTGAACCCACCAGGCCTATACATTATATCCCCTCGGTTGGGCTAGCCCCATACTACACAGAAACGTCAACCGAGACGTCTCTGTTACCAGCTTTGCAGCTGGTCATAGCAGTAGTCAAAACATGAAGCAAATCAATGTGTGTGTGTGTCTGTTGATTAAGTGGTGTGTAACTAAAAACATTCTCACAGACTTCTAGTACATGTCGTGACTTAAACATAAGAACATATTATGGCTAAGGCTACAGTTATACATGTCATAATAATAATATTAAACACCCTGTCTGCTGACAGTCATCAACTCTTCTCTCTAGTATCCTTGACCAGATGTACCCTGTAGAAACTCATAAGCATGCCTAAGCATTTAACAGTCTAACTAGACATCCTATCTCCACTAAACATTTCTAATACATAAAGTATCTATCTAATTTCTATCTGACTAAAAATACCTAACATGCCCAATCTGTAGCAGCTAACAAAGTTACAAAAGGCCCTTCCTCCATTTCCCTCTCAGCCAGCAGACACTGCAGAAGTCATCTTGAACACTGGAGGTATTCAGGAATCTAGTTTGTTTTCTTCTTCTTTTGTTGTTGTTGTTGTTGTAAACCATTGAGTTGTTTAGAGGAAATATTTTTGGGCTGTTTGTATTGTTTAGCAATATCTGTGCTAACTTAGTTTTTAGTTTTTGGTGACTGGAGTGTGGTTAAATGCAACTTTATTCAGCTGAGGTAGAGAGTGTAAAAGAAAAGCTGTACCCAGATAGACCTACAAGTCTGCTTTTGTAGGCAACCCTCAGCCTGAACTAACAGGCCCATCTCAGGGGCTTGTGTTTCTGTGGTAATGGTGTAAACTGTGTGTAGTTTCATCACATTAATATAAGGAGCCACCATGATGAAGAGGAATTACATAGTTCTAAAACTATAGTCAGTGGGTTTTTAGAAACCATCCTTCTCATACTAGTGCACAAACAGACATTCTCTCCATCATCTTTACATTTCCTTTCCTTTATTCCTGATGTGTGCCTTAAATGAGGTACAAAGACTTCTAGCCTCCTGTTCATAAACTACAGATTTTATAATAGTGTCTAGTGCTGCATATCAGTCATCCTAAAATGCTTTCTTTCAAATATATATTTCATTCTACTTTTCATCATGAAGTCTTGTGCATTAGTGCATGCATGACTTTGTCAGAGCACATAAGATACACTATAACCTGTTTAATTCCACTAATCTTTTGTTCATCTTCGTATCCCTTGTCTCCAGAAGCCACACTTATTGTTATGCTGTCCCACTAATGGTCAAAGTAAAATGAAAATACCGTAAGATGAGTTTAGATTTGACATGTATATCATCACCTTTACACAGTGAAACCAGAGTTTGCAGCTCCAACAGTCAAATTCACATATTTATATTTCAACAGTGAAAGGTGTGTGTTTCCATGTGACTGTGACAAACAAGAGAAAAGGTGCTGCTAGTTTTCCAGTCCACTGTACTTTAAGTGTGTAGATATTTTGGTTTGGGTCTCCTCTAACATTACCTCTCTGCCTCATCCTATGTGTCTATCTGTGAGGGACTCAACCACATTCTGACGGCACTGGGCGTCAGTCTGATTTCTCTAGCCCATGTTATCTTGTGTGCACACAAACTCTATCTCTCCTGTCTTTCTCTGCCACTTCTCACTCACACTTTGGCTTCCAAGCTGCCCTCTTTTCTCCTCTGCCTCTCTAACTAGAGGACTGTAGTGAGGGTGAGGTTCAGTAGCAATGGAGGGAGCCCCTTTGTGTTTGTCAAGAACTGTTTGACAGATCTTATCCCCTGTGCTTTTCACAGCAGGAAAAGGTGGCCGAACTACCCTCAGTGGGCTGCTAGGGTCAGACAGTTCAAGCTCAAACTCAGAGATACAATGTTGAGCTCAACAGACTAAGTGAAAAGTCTTTCCAAGTGGAAAGCTCCTCCAATCATTCCTTACATTGGAGGTCATGGACTTTGTGTGCAGAGAGCTACATTTATAAAGTATCAAAAAGTAAGATCACCTCAATCTTTGTCTCTTCACAGAAAATCAATTATTTGAGTGAGGCATAATTCAGCACAAAAACTGTAGGTGGTCCATTCATTCAAGGACCACAGTGATAGCTGAAAACTTCATGCAAGGAGAGTTCCTTTTGCCCTGCAGCAAACCATCAGCTGGGTCAGCAGCAGCAGAAGACCAGATGTCTAAAATACGAATTTGCTGCACATTTTCTCCAGGAAATTCTTTATGTGTTTTTTTAACTGTGGGTTGGTTATGGTGGATACAGTAAGCTTGTCTCATCAAAAAAATCTAAATAATTTTTGAATCATTCTTCAGTGTATCTAAATAACACAAGAGCTACATTTATCAATCCTTATAGGGGGGAAAAACATCCAATCTGGGCATGGATGTCCAAAAATATGGATTAAAGGTGTCTATTTGGATAGGAAATACAAGCTGGTGTTAATTCAGTGCCTTGCACAACAGCACTGCAGTAAAGGCTTGGCAGTCCATATTTATTGTATGAGCAGTGTGTCTTCACACCTGCTTGCCAGTCTATCATGAGTGATTATTTTAAAGGTGATCTGCCAGTAGGTTTGTGGTAAGACCTGACTTCACAAAAGCCCAGTCCTTCAGTGAATACTCAGCTGAACTGAAAGCTTTATTGATCACCCTTAGTACTAATGAGATTAGACACAGCATTCCTAACACCTCCAATATTCTTTTCTCACTAAATCAACGGCTTAGATTGTCATGCATATCCATCTTATCCCTCCAGATGTGTCAGGCAGTTTCTAGTGAACAAAGAAGCACAATGGAGAATGAAATAAAAGGTGGGATTGAATAAAAGAAAAGACCCACCTAAAGGACTTCTGGGGCTCTAGCTGAGTCTGCATGCTGAGGTGGAGAGACGCCTAGATGAGGGTTGTGATGGGCAGGCCATCACATCCACTGGGGGACAAAGGAGTGAGAGGACAAGCAGCTGATGGACAGAAGGTCTATTTCCACTCACACAAAAGAAGTGGGGAGATGAAACAGATTTGCAGCTCTTTATGCCCATTGTGAAGGCTCTAAATGATAAGATTTACCCCTTTTCCATCTCAGCCTGTGTGTGAGTGTGTGTAAGCTCACACAAGACATCACAACCTCTTTTGCACTGTCTTTTGTCTCTTTAGTATGCACACTTCATCAGGATATACTTCCTCTTTTTTCTTCTATCACATATGGCTACATGCACACATTTTCCAAACAGATTTTATTCAACCATTATAGGAAGGACGGATGTGACAGCTGGCTTTTGAGTCACTTCCCTTCTCCCTGCTAAACCCCAAATTTATTGTTTGATTGGAAAAGCCCTTAACTTTAACCCCCTCATCACTGAAAGATGTTTTTATGTTTCTTTGACTTGAAAATGTATTCATTTTAGTGGAAGAAGCACTGTTGGGTTATGCTACTGTAATGTCACTGACCACTCATTCACTGGCCTATAGCAGTAGAATTATAAAAATCCAGCCACTGTTATCATGTTCCATCTCCAGGAGTATTTGTTTCACCACCTGTGTGTATAGTCATCACAGTTTTACAAACTATACAGTAATTCCCTCTTATTACACCTTTGTCTTTTGTGCCATCTACTGGTCATCTTGTGACATTGTAAACTCTCATTTTCCCCAGTTTGATCTTCATTCAGTCATGGAGAATGCATAACATTTCTAAATTGTATGAAATTAGATGTGTGTAAATTAAAGATACACCGGCGTTAATACTTGTTTTATGATGTATGAGTAATTTAAACAGAATATAAGTGGCATGGTGTTGCAAGTGACAGAAAATGGACTGAACATTGCCACTACTACAGTTATACAAAACAGTACTGGATTTAGCAATGCTCATTTTGTTCATTTTTTGCATGTTGGAATATTACCAAATTACTCAGGTACTGGAGTTAAGCCTGCTTGTACCCTACTGTAATTTACCCTTTTATTTTATTTTATTTTGCCAAACAAGCATTTGATGTAGATTTAGCTGTAACATTTTTATACTTTAAAGCCAAATAACTTAACACTTCCTCCAGCCATTTTATTGCTTCTTCTTTATGGGGGTTTGTTAATAAAATGTGTTCTGTTGATCTGTGTCTCCGGGTTAACACCGCTGTTATCCTATAGGGGGCGCTGTGGTTCAGGCCATGAAGTCAAACGCTTTTGCGTCTATTGCCGAGTCATGGATAGGTGTGTGACACGCTACAAGGACGGTCACATTAGCAGCATGAGTATACGCAGTTGTTGGTAGCAATGACAGACCTTTAGTTGTGTGTCGTTTACACTCTCAGCAGCCAGTCACGTTGTGAGCTGTCGTTTGTGTTAAAGCTGTGTGGTGCCGGCTGAACCAGCTTTAGAAGACTAGCTAACGTTAGTTAGCTTCTCAGGAGTAACGTTAAGCTTTGTTTTTGACGAGCAGTTGGCATTGTGGACGTGACAGCAACTATTTGGGAAACAAGGTAATGTAACAACTAGCATTAACATTGCTGCTTTGTGTCTAGAGGCTCTAAAATGCACGTTAATAGTGCTGAAGCTTGTCATTGTGTATTGTGGTGCAGTGGTTAATGCTACAAACTGTTTACATCTAATTTGTCATTCGTGGGAATTGTTTTGTGAACCACTCTGCCTGCCACACCTGGTTTATATTTTGGCAGTGGATGGCAAATGCTGCTGTGGTGGTAATTGAAAACCAGCAAATAGTGAACCATGACTCAGCAACTAAATGTCACTAAAGAGAGGAAACCTTGCTTTGTTTTGAAGTCATTGTTTCATTTTGTTGTACATTTTAAAGACCTACAGTGGTCTGGAAACTGTTACATTTAGTCATTTTACTTTTTCTGTTGTTGTGTTGTATCTCAAATGAACTTATTTGTTTCTTCCCAGTTGCAGCCATGGTGTTCATGCAGAGTTACTGTGAAGCCAATTCCTCCATCTCCCACACCTGGGTGGATGAAGGCATCTCTCCCTGCTTCTACTTCACCCTGGTCCCCACCATCCTGCTCACCATCTCCTTCCTCCTCGGCACCATCCATTGCGTGTTCTACCAGAAATATGGAACAGTAATGGAACCCAAATTCATCCCCCGCTCCTGCCTTTACGGCTTCCAGCAGGCCATCTCCGCCCTTCTCCTGCTCCAGTTTCTGAGTTTGATAGTGTGGCGGGCTGCCAGCGGAGGAGAGCTCCCTGGCTATGTGGTGTTGTATGGCTGCTTCTCTGCACTGGGTTGGGCTTGGGCTATAGCCCTGCTCAGGGTGGAGAGACGGAGGGTCCTGGTGATGGACCGGACAAGAGGGCACAGCACCGTCCTGTTGCTGTTCTGGGCTCTGGCTTTCTCAGCTGAGAACCTGGCTTTTGTTTCCTGGTACAGTCCTCACTGGTGGTGGGGTCTGGAGAACAATCAACAGCAGGTGAGAGAGGTTTGAATGCCACAAGATGTTTTTTTTTTTTTTAACCAACATTTAAAAAAATAACCCCTTAAAGGAGAGAGTCAAAAATGTTTGGTGTTGTGTAGCACAAGCTTCTATTTCCATTTTCTGTTCGGTCAAAATACTGTAAATTGTATACAGTATTCAGATCATATGCTTTGTGCTCCTCTGTACCAGTACAGAGCTTGTGCAGGTTTTCTTGGATTGTTTTTGTTAGACAGTCTTGGTAGAACAGTGTCAGTGGTTGGATAACTGAACAGACCCAGCTCTCAGAGGTAACTGCCGTTACAACCAGTACTTCGATGGCCAACAATGTCCCCTAACGACCGATATGTTGAGGTTCCAGTCCTTTTCTGCATTTTTTTTCATCTTACTATGACCCGGATGACAGAATTTGTACAGGCATCCTTTAACTCATATTGTGAGCTTTCATATGAATGTTCTTCTATTCTTTGGCACATTTAAAATGTTATATTGACAGCATTTTCTTATTATGTATAATAATAATAAAACTCCAATTAACACTATAATTTATGTTAGTGGCGGTGATATGTATTGTAACCATGTAATGGATTAAAGGGCTGTTGTTTATTACAGATAGGCGTGTCTGTTCAGTCACTCTGCTCAAACCTGTGCAGCCGGCCTTGCTTACAGGACCAACAAAGCAAGACAAGCTGACATGCAAAACCCCAGTAGAAATGAGCACAAGACTAGAGCTTTTTATTTTTTTTGCTGAGTCATTGCCTAATCTGCCTTTCAGATCCCATACCCTTAAGTGTTAACCAATCAAATCAAGACAAAATCTTGCCCCTCCCATACCGAGTCAGTTGTAGCATTTTCAACTTAGTTGTTATAATATTGTCAGCATGACTTGAGGTTTTAGGTTTAACTGTTGATCCTTTGTTGTACTCAACTTGACTCCTCATTTTCAGTCTAAACTCCTCCTTTTAGTGGGAGCCTATAGATTTATTATTGTATCTTGTACAATAACATTGATACTCAGAGACTTAGTCATTTTATAATAAGGGACACATCTAATGCAGTCATCACTTTAGTCCTTTTCTCATACACAGCTGTGTTATGAGCATTAGATTTCCATCTCTCCACTGTTGCATGCTGTTTAACAGCAATGTGGTATCCATATTAATCTGATTTAAATTGTCTGTGAACCCCTCAGGTTCTGTTTGCCCTGTGGTTGGTGCGTTACATTGGCACTGGGCTGCTCTTCTTCATTGGCCTCAAAGCTCCGGGGCTGCCACGGAAGCCATACATGCTACTGATAAATGAAGATGAGCGGGATGTGGAGAACAGCGGGCAGGTAGCGACCCATAAACCCACAGCAGTTAAACCTGTGACATTTCTGTTTGGTAACAATATCTCACTTCCCAAATATGCCATCGATTCTACTATGTCAGGTATTTAATATCTTTCTCTATCTTAGAGCCTGTTGGGCAGAACAGAAGAGAACCAGTCTACCTGGCAGGGCTTCAGAAAGAAGATTCGTCTGCTTGTTCCCTACATGTGGCCCCAAGGCAAGATCTCCCTCCAGGTGCTGGTCCTCTTCTGTTTAGGGCTACTGGGAGTCGAGAGGGCTATTAATGTGTTTGTACCCATTTACTACAAGAATATTGGTGAGTGATGGATTTTTTTTTTACCTTGCCCCGCAGACTTAAATGTTCATCTGTTTCAGAGCTGTTACTGCAACTACACTGTTACAACTAGCCTGAGTGACAAGCTAGTCGTGTTTCTTCTTTATTTGATTTGAGTCACAGGTTGAAGGCCACATAAAAGCTTACCAAAAAAATCATGTTGAATACACACCTAGTGGCTTGTAGAGAGACTCAAGTGCAGAATGCACTGTTCCTGATGATATGTGATGCTGTTCAATTGAGGCATCCTTCTCCTGATGTCTGTGAGCTTCCAGAGGGCCAGAGACATGACTGTAAAATACATTGGTGTCACAGAGCACCTTCAGAGTTTTACTTGCTCTTATTTATCAGCTTGTTAATCTATTTTATCTTTGAGCCAGATACAGATTTTTGCTAAATTACCTTTGTCTTTGTCCCTTTCTCAGTGAATGAACTGACTGGTGGCAGCAGCTGGAATACTGTGGCCGCTACAGTGTCTGTTTATGTCATGCTCAAGTTCTTGCAGGGTGGAGGGGCAGGTATGATAAACCCATTCATGCTCTGAATGAATAATGTAGAGTGTGAGCTCTGTAGTGTTCATTGATTGTCTATCTGCAGTTACATGTCACATGACCATAGCAGTAAAGTTCATCAGTCAGTTCTGCCCTTATCTGCCCCTGTTCTCAGGTGCCTCAGGGTTTGTTAGTAACGTGCGCACTTTCCTGTGGATCCGGGTGCAGCAGTTCACCGACCGTGTGGTTCAGGTGCGTCTGTTTGCCCACTTGCACTCACTCTCCCTGCGCTGGCATCTGAGCCGCAAAACCGGTGAGGTGCTGAGAAGCATCGACCGAGGCACCTCCTCCATTAATGGCTTGCTCAGGTAAAATGGCACTGGATGTGATGGAGGATTATAAATATCTGAAAAATGAATGAGTGGTTTGACATTTTAACAAAACTACTGTCGGCACTGTACACAATATGACATCTTGTCAATGTACTAACTAAAACTGATTTCCAGCTGGAAATACTATACCGATCAGCCATAAAATGATTGTGTAGCTCCCCTTTTGCTGCCAAAACAGCTCTGACCTGTTGAGGCATGGATTACACAAGACCTTTGAAGGTGTCCTCTAGTATATAGCCCAGAGACATCAGCAGCAAATCCTTTTAGTCTTGTAAGCTACAGGGTGGGGCCCTCATGGACTGGACTTGTTTTTCCATCACATCCCACAAACGCTTGATTGGATTGAGATCTGGAGAATTTGGAGGCCAAGTCAACACCTTGAACACATTGTTGTGCCCCTCAAACCATTCTTGAACCACATTTGCAGTGTGGCAGGGCACATTATCCTGCTGACTGAAGGAGGCCACTGCCATCAGAGAATACCATTGCCATGAAAGGTTTACTTGGTCTGCAGCAATATTAATGTAGGTGTTGCGTGTTAGAATAGCATCCATATGAATGGCAGGACTCAAAGTTTCCCAGCAGAACATTGCCCAAAGCATCACACTGCTTCTACTAGCTTGTCTTCTTCCTGTAGTGCTTCTGGTACCATCTCTTCAGTGACATACACACCCAGCCTACCACATGATGTAAAAGAAAATGTGAGTCATCAGACCGAGCCACCCTCTTGCATTGCCCCATGGTCCAGTTCTGATGCTCTCATGCCCATTGTAGGCACTTTTGGTGGTGGACAGGCATCAGCATGGGCATGCTACGCTACACAGCCCCACACTCAGTCAGCTGCAATGCACTGTGTGTTCTGACACCTGTTTATCAGAACCAGCATTAAGTTCTCCAGCAATTTGTGCTACAGTAGCGCCTCTGTGGGATCAGACATCACGGGCTAGCCTTTGCTCCCCATGCACATCAGTGAGCCTTGGGCATCCATGACCCTATTGCCAGTTCACAGTTTGTCCTTCCTTAGATCACTCTTGGTAGTTACTAATCACTGCACACTGGGTACACCCAACAAGACCTGCAGTTTGGGAGAATGTCTGACCCAGTTGTCAGCCACCACAGTTTGGTCCTTGTCAGAGTGCCAGTTTTTCCAAACTGACTGTTCACTTGCTGCCTAATATACCCCACATTCTTACAGGTGCCTTTGTAATGAGATAATCAGTGTTATTTGCTTCACCTGTCAGTGATCATAATGTTACCGCTGATCAGTGTATATGTGTAGCAAGATTAGTTTTTTCCAAAATTTTATTCTCCTAAATTAAATTAAATTAAATTTAAAGAGCAGAGAGATGATTGACTTAAATGTCCTTTTTCCCCCACAGCTACATAGTGTTCAGCATCTTCCCAACCATTGCTGATATTGTCATTGCCATCATCTACTTCATCACTAATTTCAATGCCTGGTTTGGCCTTATTGTCTTCATCTGCATGGTCCTGTACCTTAGTAAGTAGCACATGTTGAATCAAGAGTTCCACTGAATTTAGGTTAAGTTGAACGTAGCCTCAGATAAAATGTTCACATATTCTAATTATATATCCACCAGCTCTGACCATCATCATCACTGAATGGAGGACAAAGTACAGGCGAGACATGAATCAGCAGGACAATAATGCCAAAGCCAAGGCTGTGGACGCCTTGTTAAACTTTGAGACGGTATATCAAGCATTTTGTCATCCCACTGCCTTTTGGCTGGTTAAGAATAATTCCCAGACATGTTCATACGTCAAACTTTATTCCACTCATCTTTTTATTTTGTCTAATAGGTAAAATACTACAATGCAGAGAACTATGAGGTCAGTCGTTTTGAGGATGCTATCTTAAAATATCAGGTAAGTCAGAGGTATTATTTATGAAACCAACGCATTAAGTAGAAGTAACGAGCCTAAAATTCTCTGCTTTTTTAGTTTAGCAGGATATTGAACACAGTCTTTGCCATACTCACTTAGACAGAAGTCAAAACAAACCTGAAGGGAAGAGTGTGTGTAGTTATCACTACCTTGAAGATTACAAATCAAAACAAAGATGAGAAATAGATGAATATAACAGATAATGTTAGCATCAAATGAACATATTATCAGTGGTATAAGGTCAAGGTCAAAGTGTTTATTTGTCATATGCACAGTTAGAAAATGTGTTTCCCTGTACAATGAAATTCTTACTTTGCCGTCCACATGAATACCACACAATACAAATGAAATATAAAGTAGATAAAATCACAAATCTAAGGTACTTTAAAGCAGCAAGTGAAGGGAGCAAATAAAAATACAACAAGAACACAATATAATGCAGAGAGAATATATGCTACGTGGGAGCCATGGAGTGTAAATACTCAGCAGTGAGTGTGCAACCATGCATGTGCAAACTGAGTATGTAAACGGTACAGATGGAATTACATGAGGTAGACCCTGAGTCAGCTGTTTAGGAGTCTGATGGCAGAGGGAAAGAAAGATTTTCAGTCTAGAAGTCCTGCATTTCACACTTCTGAGTCTCCAACCAGAAGGTAGGGGTATAAATAGTCTGTGCTGGGGGTGGGTGGGGTCCTTGAGGACCGAGGCAGCTTTCCTATGCACCCTGCGGTGGTAAATGCTCTGCAGAGAGGGCAGTGGAGTCCTGGTGATCTTCTCTGCAGTCTTTACCACTCTCTGCAGGTGCTTGCGGTCCATAGCAGTAGTGCTGTCATACCAGACAGTGATGCAGCTGGTCAAGATGCTTTTGATGATGCAGCTGTAGAAGTTGCAAAGGATCTTAGGCGACATGCCAAACCTTCTCAGCCTCCTCAGGAAGTACAGATGCCGTTGGGCCTACTTAACCAGCTGTGTGGTGTTGTGTGTCCAGGCGAGGTCCTCACTGATGTGGACGCCCAGGTATTTGAAGCTGCTCACCCTCTCCACTTCGAGCCCTCATGTTGTCATTATCTGAATCTTGTGGATTGTACCGCTCCTCTGTTTCAGGTTGTGTGCTCTTTCTATGTACGCTAGATTAACAGCTGCACCTGATGCTCTGCGATGACTGTTCCTTCCACCTGTTTCATTGTCCATTTTGCATCCAAGCTTAGTGACATGTGCACAATCATTCTGTTCCCTTCATCCTTCGGCTATTTCAGTAAAGAACTTCCATTTCTTCTCAACCTTCAACTTTTTCAACAAAGAACTTCAGCCATTTCTTCTCATCATTCAGCTGTTTCAGCAATTGATTTCAGGCATTTTCAGGGCGATCCTCACAATGTTTCATTTCAGTAGTCAGTATTTCTGTAGTAGTCCTCAGGATATAAGACTACTCTCTCTCTCTCTCACACACACACACACACCTACTTGTTTTACCTACTTTGTGGGGACCAACGGGAAACTTTTCACATCTTAATAACGTCAGCATACTTTCAGCTAGAAATGTAGTCTGTGATGTGCTGCAGGCCTTGCCACATCCGCCTGGAGTCAGCAGTAGAATAGAAGCCACTCAGCTTCTCTCTGTACTGCCTCTTGAGTGCTGTGATGGCTTTCCTTAGTCCGTACTTCGCAGCTTTGTACTCCATCTCATTGCCCAATCTGAATGCATGAGAGCGAGCACGCAGCATGTGGTGTACCTGACTGTTTATCCAGGGCTTCTGGTTGGGGAACCTCCTGACTTGTATGATGGGCACAATGTTATCAATACAGGTACTAATGTACCCGGTCACGTATAAGTGTGGTTATGTGTAATATAGTGTTGGGATGTTGGAAAATGCAAACAAACTACCTGAAGGAAAGCATAACAAATGATCGGAGCAGTGGCAGTTGCAAGTTGCAACATGCATATCACAGCAAACAAGTCCAGGGGTTGGGGTTTGTATCTCACCAGGCAGTGGTCCCAGGTGCTCCCAGCCTGCCTGGGCCTCAGTCAGGTAATTCTACTGCTTGAAAGGCAGACACACCGATTTACACAGGAGTTTACATTCCCCGTGTAGTGAAGAAGATAGCCTTCTGCTACAGTCCCAATAATGCTGCCTGTCGCTGCTAAAAATAATAGGTAGTTTTATGTAGGAACCTATTAAATTGATTAATTAAGTCATTAACCAGTCCATACAAGCATGCACCTGAAGAGTCTTTGCTCCTCTTGTTTTTAGGTGTCAGAGTGGAAGACCCAGGCGTCTCTGGCCTTCCTCAACCAAACACAGAACATCATCATCGGAGCAGGCCTGCTTACCGGCTCCCTGCTATGTGCCTACTTTGTGACTGAAGGAAAGTTCCAGGTACTAGTCATAGCAACGATGATAATGAAAGTGACAATTTCTAATTTGAATTAAGTAAAAATTTGTTTTATTGATGAGAACAAATTATACTAGTTTGAATTATCCCATTTGGTTTGACCATTAACAAAACTCTTCTAATTCTAGGTTGGAGATTATGTTCTCTTTGGTACCTACATCATCCAGTTGTACACCCCCCTGAACTGGTTTGGAACCTACTACAGGTAAGAAGAGGAGGAAACAGCTTAAATGCATTGTAGTTTACAGCACAGCAGGTGTCATTCTGCCTTAAAGGTTCTTTGTATTTCATTAAGAGATTAAGAATGAATGTGAATCATTGTTTTAGTTGTTTATGCTTTGTCTTGAAGTGTGACATATTAAGCTTCTGTGCCAATGGATACATTGATACATTTTGTTCCCAGTGTAAATTACTGATGTTTATTCTTGCAGAGTTATCCAGAGATCTTTCATTGACATGGAAAACATGTTCCAACTTTTTGAAGAAGAGGAAGAGGTACGTTTGATCTAGATGGGTTTTCACTTTACTATATTATCACCTGCTTTATTTAAATAGTTTTGTTTGTTCCCCTGCACAGGTAAAGGATGATGTGAATGCAGGAAATCTTGTGTACAACCAGGGAAAAGTGGAATTTGAGAATGTTTACTTCAGCTACACAGATGGGTTGGTTCACATTTGTTTTGATAACCTGTGTAAAACTAATAATGGATGAAGGTGTCTGCTTGAGCCAAAGTCTAGATACAAATCTGAGTCTTACATTTCCAAACTGTTTCTCAGAAGAAGGATCCTTCAGGATGTGTCCTTCACTGTACTACCAGGACAGACAGTCGCCCTGGTAAGTTTGAGGAACAAATTTCAGTCCTCTGCTCACTCGTATGACTTGTGTTAATTCATTGTCTTTTAAGGTCCTATTATGATTATCTTCTGTTCATCCCCCAAGGTTGGACCATCGGGGTCCGGGAAGAGCACCATCATTCGACTGCTCTTCCGTTTTTATGACGTTCAGGGAGGCTGCATTCGTATCGATGGCCAGGATATATCAAAAGTGAGTGTCTGACACCAGAACAATTACTACAGAGTTGCAGTAAAAAAAATAAAAAAATAAATAAATAAATGCTAGTTGGTGCAATGCGTATGTATTAATGGGATACAATGACATGCACACATATAAACACTGCAGTCCAATACATTATCTGTGTAATAAATATTTGTGAGGTTTATGATGTTTATAATCTATGGTAAGTTCGACAACACTATGGAGTAAGGCCACAAAAATTACATTAGAGTTCAAATATTGCTTCCATAATATGTTATCAGTAACTGTAACTTGGCATAATATACTCTAGTCCCAGCAGAGCTAACTAGCAGGTTCTCATAAGCATTAGTGCCGTGAAGTACTTGCTGGAAGGATAAATTAGCCCCTTATGTTGCTCTTGAGATTACCAAGAGCAATGAATGCATAAGTTACAGTTATTTGTGACTGTGCGTTTACAAATGCACTCTGCACTAGTAATTACTTTCTCTTTGTTGTCCCTGCTCAGGTGAAGCAGGCATCTCTTCGAGCTCATATTGGTGTGGTTCCCCAGGACACTGTGCTTTTCAACGACACCATCCAGAATAATATTCGCTACGGCCGCATCTCCGCTAGTGATCAGGAAGTGGAGGAGGCTGCCATAACTGCTGATATCCATGATAAAATCATGACCTTTTCTGAAGGTAATGTATAGGTTAACCCTCGGGGGTTTTTTTTTTTTTTTTTTCCATTTGTTTGTTTGGCTATTACATCAAGTACTGTAATGTAGTGGATGTTCAAAGTAATGTGAAGGATATGAACCCTCTCGATTGGCTGCCAGGGTTTATCTGAGTCCTATAGAGCAACTGTAAGATCTCTTGTGTTGCACAGACTGTTTTCTTTTCACCTATCTGTACTTTTCTCTGGCAGGCTATGATACGCAGGTGGGTGAAAGAGGTCTGAAGCTGAGTGGAGGAGAGAAGCAAAGGGTGGCCATCGCTAGAACTATCCTCAAAGCACCACAGATTGTCCTGTTGGATGAGGTGAGATATTAAAAAATGTGCGGTTGTGTCTGAGTGGACAAGCAGACACAAGACAAACTGTGAAATCATTTAATGGTCTGTGTTGAATCCTAAGACTGAAGCACTGGAAGATATTGTCACATTGTTTCCCTGTGTGTATATTTCTATTCATGTCACTCAACTTCTACATAAAGAAAGGGCTTTTACAAAAAACATATTGCATAACTTGTTTCATGATTATTCAGTAAATGGTTAAAGGCATTGCTCTTATTTAGAGTTGCATAAGGTGATGTCTCTCTGCAGGCCACATCTGCATTAGACACAGAAACAGAACGCAACATCCAGGCGTCTTTGGCTAAAGCCTGCGCCAACCGAACAACAATTGTTGTAGCTCACAGGTGAGAGATGAATCTGCTGTATTATTTTATTATGAAGAGTTTGTTTCTCTTTTGTCCTTAACTGAGGAGGTCATTAATTTACTCTGTGGGCTCCATATTGCAGGTTGTCCACCATAATAGGAGCAGACCAGATTTTGGTTATCAGAGAGGGCCAGATTGCTGAGCGAGGAGGGTGAGTGTGCCTTATTGACCTGGCGTACTGTCAACTGTACAATATGTTGTCTTGTTCGCTGAACTTTACGTGACTTTCTCTCCTTCTAAGACATGAGGAATTGCTACTCAAGGGAGGCCTGTATGCAGACATGTGGGTGAAGCAACTTCAGGCCCAGGACTCTGACTCATCAGACACAGAAGCCAAAGATCGCAAGTCTGAGAAACTGCAGCCACCATCAACCTCTTCAGGCCACCATGGCCATTGATTGTATTGTTTTGTTTTTAAAGAACTTTATATTTGAATTCCTATTATTTATATAAATGTGATGAAACACAGCTATTTAGTTTTCCATCTCAATGTGCCACAACAATGGAGGAAAGGGAAGGTGCCTTAACAAAGCTAAGGAGGAACAACCTTCTTAATGTGTTAAAATTTATCAAAGACATTTCATTTTGATACCCCACGGTTTAAGTTGTGAAGGTCAAATTGTTACCCCATCATAAAAACAAATGTAAGCACTGTTTGAACATTTCAAACCATAATACAGTAATGTGGTTACAAGGCTAAAGAATGAATAGTAGATAGAGCTTGTTGTCTTATGCCTTCATTATGTGACACCCTGAATTTTGAGGCATATTATTTTTGGAGGCTCTCCTGGCACCTTTTTTATGTTTGTCTTTATTTTTATATTAAACACTGACAAGAAATAAGAGAGTAAATCCCATTAGTTGCATTCTCAGCAACTGTGTAATATGAATCGCAGTGGGGTTGGTCTGGATACAAGCTTACAGGGATTTTATTTAGCTTTCTGTTGTTTCTTTTTATTCTGGGTAGTTTTCTGAGCTCTGTTTTTATGTGTAAGCATCTGTATATTTTTGATTGCCACAGTAAAGTGCTCTGATTATTGTATTTTCTCAATTAAGGATTATTAATTTGTAAGATGTTAAGGTAAAATGTAAACAGCCTTGTAAGTTATATATTTATTTGTTTATTTTTGCCCAATCCATGTTTGCAACCTTTGTCAGGGCAGAGATTTTAACTTGGTACATAGATACAGTATAATGGAGTAGGTTTATTAGAACTGATTTGGCAGTATTAAGTCAAAATGTGCATGAAAAAGTATATCAACAAACTCAGAGGCCTATACAATATTCTTGTGCACCTTTATTCTCACCTTAATGTAATTTCCAAGTAAATATTGTCATATACACAATTCTTGACAAGAATAACCTGTCATTTGATGTGTAATGTCTACCTCACAAAAGGTAGTATTTTGTAAATAGTCTGTTTTAACTTGTACTTGAACAGTGAGTTTTTTTTCATGCAATCATATCTAAAATAGAAATATTACAGTTTTTATGGTAATTATGTTAAGGTAATAGTCTAAGTTATAACAGCAGCTGACAACTATCACAGATGTCATTACTTCTGAGGAGTTTTTGTGAACATCCCTGTGGTGAACTTGGCACGGTATAGTGGCAGCATCTCATCCTATTTATTAACAAATCATTTAAATCTACATGGAAAAGGAATCTGAAAATTCAAAATAAATGCATCCGTTGGTCAAAATAGTTTACAACAGTTGTGTAATAGATGCACAGCACGTCCCCTCCTGTTTCTACTGTAGTTCTGGAAAGCGAGGAAGAAAAAAAAAAAACAGCCCAGCTGGCTCCCGTCGTCACTGACAGCTCCTTTTCAGGGCGTGTTGCTACATCAGCCCTACCAGACAGGCCACGCGCTTGTCTTTTCAACGTTAGGCCGAATAAGGTTTAAACTGTAGTAAATATGGATTTCGATGCCCTATTCAATGAAAGGACATTTGAGTTTTCGGACTTCCAGGAGTTCACGGTATGTTGATGACCTAAACCCGCGCTAATGTTAGGTCAATACACTACGGAAGCTAACGCTAAACACATTCGCTAGCTACGTTCAGCTATCTGACATTTTATATCAGCATTGGCTTTCTTGTTCTAGTATCCTGACTGAGGACGAAAGTTACCTTACGTTAGGTTAGCTTGTTAAACATGTCTGATTAAAGTTGGTAAAGCGTCGATTAAATTTTCGAAATTAAAAATCGCTGGGTTAAGCTGCTGGCCTTAGTTCCGTAGCTAGCTCATGTTATTATAGGCTCGCTCCTAGTTGACGGTCTCGGTTTAGCTTAGCTTAGCTAACAGCTAACGATACAGTGTGGTAGCAATGTGGTTACAGTAATAGTTTTTGTAAACAATATAGTGTTAGGTGCTAATTAGATGATTTATAAACGCCTATATCGTATTGCTAGGTTTATTGCCGATAACATTATTTTCTTTGCAGATAACGTTAGCGTTTTTTTCTCATTTTAAATGTTACCTTTCAGCTGTTAAACTGCTGTTTTTACAGTTTCTTCCTGGACACCAGAAGTTGTCCGAACGAGTGAGAAAGCGACTGTATTATGGCCTGGACAACGACGTTTCTTTAGATGCCCTCTCTTGTCCTGTTGCAGGTGAATTTAAATGTTGAAAGTTTCAAGAAGTAATATATTTAAATGTTGCACTATTTTAAGTGATACTGATTGTGCAGGGCTTATTTCTGACTTGCAATATGTTAAAGAGTTTTACTGTTGTATTACACTGTTTTTGGTAAGACTTCAAGATGGCTTCATTATAGAACTTGGATGTTAAATGTAGAGAAATAACTTTAGATAAATGGAATCAGGAGAGTTCACTTTTGCCTCTTTGCTTTCTGGATGCCAGATATTGCTGTCGAATTTTTCCAGAAGTCTGCCCCCAGCCCAATACGAAAGCTCCACAAGAAGTATGCTGCTCATGTTGCCAGGTGTGTACTGTATATTATACATGTATAGATACTTTATACAACCTCTTAGGAACTAAACACAGCACCAAGAGTCATACATCTAAAAAATATCTAATTTTTGCTTCAGGGAAGCTTGCATCTCTCCATGTGCCATGATGCTGGCTTTAGTTTACATAGAAAGGCTCCGACACAGAAACCCTGAATACCTACAAAAGATCTCCTCTTCTGACCTTTTCCTGATCTCCATGGTATGTGTTTGGTTCAAAGATCATTCTAAATGTATCACAGTGTTATTTCTAGTATGTTCACTGCTCATTTCAGAATGGAGTTGGCTTTTTCTCAGGTTCTTGGGACCTATATTACTATTTTTGTTTTTTGTGTGTGTACAATTAATAAAGTGAATGTCATGATATTGTAATGACAGATGGGCTTATCTCTCACTTTGAGTTAGATGGTTGCTAGCAAGTATTTGTATGACGAAGGGGAGGAAGAAGAGGTTTTCAATGATGAGTGGGGAGCAGCTGGGAAGCTGGATGTCCAAACTGTCAATAACCTTGAGATGAACTTCTTGAATGCTATTGTAAGTGGCACTCTGCATGTTTGCATGTCAAGGTCAAAGTGTTTATTTGTCATATGCACAGTTAGGAAATGTGTTTCCCTGTACAATGCATGTGATGTGTCCTTAATTGAGAGTTTTGTTCATTGGCTTTTCCCTAACCTTTGTCGGATGTTCTAGGAGTGGAGCCTCTTCACAGATCCAAATGACTTCTTCGATATGCTGAGTCTACTGGAAACCAGGTTGGTGATCCGTTTTGTACAACTACTGCTGAGAGTCAAGCAGGCAAATATACAGTTACTGTGATTCAGTGTTGTAAAACAAAACGTGAAAATGTGGAGCAGAATAGCAGCATGACCGGTTTGTGTGAAAAGAGTATTTCTGACCCTGGCCTCTGTGTTTCCAGCATTGCAGAGCAGCAGGGGATGAAACGCGGCTGGTTCACCTACACCGACCTCTGTGTGCTGCTGGAGCAGTCAGCATGGAGTCAAGCCCTCACAGCCATCTACCAGCACTTTACAAAGGTGATCTGAGAGGTTTTTTTTTTTAATGCTTTGGATGTCCTAAGGTGTTTTTATGTTGTTTTTTTTATTCTTCAATTATAACATAAGCACTACATTATGGTCAAATCTGCAAAAGAGGGCTGCAGATTGAATCGTTTTGCGAGTGTGATTTAGATCCCTGTGTGATCTCCGTCTCACGTGATAATAATTCTGCCGTGTGTGCATTAGCAGTGAGATCCCTTGCATCAAACTAAGCACTCTCCTTTCCTCACTAAGCTGTGTTAACCAATAACCACAAAGTGATTTATTTCTGCCTAAACTGCTATTCAGCACTAGGTGTACTGGGCAGGCAGCACAACATCTGAAAAACTAGTTGCAGGACAGCACAGAATGTCTTTCACTATGTCAAACATTGGATTTGTTATTGAATCAGTCTTGTCAGCGCTGAATAGCACTCTGTAGTTATTAGTTGTGGTTACTGGTTAATGCTGCTTAGCGAGGAAAAGGGAGTGCTTGGTTTGTTGCTGGGTGTCTCTCTGCCAATGCAAACATGGCAGAATCCTTATGTGAGACTGAGATCACACAGGGATCTAAATCATTCTCACAAAACACTTTATTGTGCAGCCCTACTGCAAAAGAGGAATTAGCTATTAGAGTTGTTAATATATTATGTTTGATCATAAGATTTGATCCCAGTTTATTTTTCAGGTTTCCTGTATGCTCGGCTTAGTCTATCTAACCAGTGTGGCTGGTCTTATTGCCACCAGTGCGGTGCTGCACCAGCTCAGTCTCTGCAAGAGCAGCCAGTCCATACTTGTGCCTCCAGTTGAGATCAGCCCAGCCCACCTTCACACTTCCAGTCTAAACCCAGAATCTTCTGCTGCAACCCAGCACCCCCTGTGTTGTGTTCTGGCCAACAAGAGTCTGAACTGTCAGCCCAGTACACCTGGATTTGGTGAACACCAGAGACCAAGCCCCCCTTTGTCCTCAAAAAAATCTATATTGTTTCTATGGGGCTCCTTCCTTGCCTCAGTGGGTCACATACACCTTGAAACCAAGTCTGAAATGGAACTTTCCCAAACCTGGTCTATTGCTGCCTCCTTCTGTCCCGGCTGTCTTGCAACCCTCCCTCCTCTTCAATGCGGGCTTCGAAACACCTCATCGCTCTTCCCTCACAGTCCTGTTGTTAACCATCAGCGTCATGTACCATGGCTGGCCCCCAGCCTCCAAGGAGCTGTGGAACCAAGTCACACAACTCACCTAGGCATGTTCCCCCCGGTACAGCGGGGACCATGCCATCCAGAGTCTATGTTACCTGTTGACAAAGCCCAAGCTCTGCTCATGTCTGGCTAGAGACCATCTAACTGCACTGCTGGCAGCCTAGACTCTGGAAATTATACCAGCATTACTTTCATGACTCATCAGCTGCTCTGAGTCATGATTTATTTACCTCTCCAGATCTGGAATACAAATGAATAGATAAGAGCACATTATAGAGAGGGTGAGTGTTTGATGATGGCACTGTCAGGGTGGAAATTCACTTATACTTGACCACTGCAGAATTAATTTGCCACAAGAAAATGTTGAGTTAATTCTCTGCAATTTGGTTTTACTGCAGAGATCACAAGAAAACTGGAGACCATTTAATGCTTTCTTGCCAGCAACTACATAGTTTGGCCCCCCTCGCATTTATCATTGTATGAAAGTTCAAACCTGTTGAATGGTGGTGTAGGGTCTTTGTGATGAGTGGGTTTTGAGTTGTTATATCAATGCTGTTATGTTTTTCCAGCCTGCTACTTGGTAAGTGATGAAAGTGCATATCTGGGTTTCACAGTAAGTTTTTCAGAGATGGGGGATCTGTGATGAGAAAGGACTAAACCAGTCTACTTTATTCTGACATCCATTTTTGCTTGCTATTACCATATTTCTCATTTATGCACGTGGAGGTTTACATCAGACATTGGTCTTAGTGATTTTGTACACCATATAGCTTTTTTTCTGTTTGTGAAAGAAGTTGTTTCCCCTCTTTGCAGATTCAGGCAAAAGGAAACTGTTCTGCATCTCCATACCTCAGTTTAACTGTCACTGGCCACATTGTGGTCATTCATATCCAGAAATCTTCTCTGGTTTTCCTTAAAGCTCTTTCTTGTAAAAGTAATGTTTGGTCAGATTTAAGAGATTAACCTATAAGTTCCCCGTTCTCCAAGGGGAAGAAGGTGTGTAAAACAACTGATGGATCCCTGGAGTTCTATGTAATTTCTGGATGGCATTTTTGAAGTGAATATTTTAACATATTAAAGGCAAACACATTTTTGCACTGCGTTCTGGAGTTTGCACACAAGTCTCTGTTGCAACAGGACATTTAACTTCATGATCACTGCATTATCAAGTTTATCTTCTAAACACCAGGAAAAAGAGTGTACAGTAAAGGTTTAATTATTTTTATGTACATAGTTACACAGTCCCCAGGGACATTTACTTTATAACTGAATTGACTGCTCATTTGAATTTGATACACTTTGAAGCATAAAGTCCTTTAGTTTTGTAAATGCTGTAAAATGCAAATATTGTAAAAATGTAGAAAAGTGACAAATAAATAATGCATTTCTTTGTGCCACTTCTGAATTATTGACTGTCATTAACATAGAGTGAAGTCCAGGAGAACAGTTATTTGAAACACTAGTGTCATAAGTCATTAGCCAACAATAGGATTTGCTGTATACAGGCTTGACATTCACTCTACATAGACCATAGTTATTTCATTTCTGACCTACTGTAGGGGAAATTGTATATTTAGAATGGGCCTTGACAAAGAAATACGAGCTATATTTGTAAAACATTTTAACCACTAATTCTGTAGTACAGGTCATCCTCTACCTTGTATGTGCTGTACCCATCTCCAGGCGATAAATAGTGGCAAATTTGATCTGAGACAACAGTAAGCACTATAATGGAGAAAGAATGTCCCTTCAAAACCAATGCATTCAAAGAACTGTGAAGGCAAAGTGCCAGCTAGTGTGTGTCACAGAGATGGGAGCAGGTGTCCCTCCCCCCTGAGCTGGTGCCAGCTAGTTTATCCTTGCCCTGATACATACCACTTGAGCACTCCTAATATAGACTCAACTGCTCTGCGGGAAAGGGTGAAGATCTGAGTGGACTCAGAGCTTGGGTTTTCTGCTTTCAAAGCAACATTTTCATGGACACATGACAGAATTATGGAGCCTCCTTCGCAGGTGAAATGTTACTTTTGAATGGGCACAGCTAGGAGAAGGTTTTGTGAAGTTGAAGCTAGTATTGTGAAATTGTTATTATTGTTTACAGAAAGTTTCACTTGCTGTGTTTTAGGTGTCATTCCCAGAGAAGATACAGGAAATGCATAAACAAGGTATAATCACAATAAGTGGCTTTGTACATGTGGATGTGCATATGTAGACTTTTGTGCGTGCATGTATGCTGTTAAAGCGCATTTGTTACCATTTATTTGTAGGTGTGTGCGTGTGTTCAGATTGTGTGAGTTGTTATGATATATGATTCCTCCTAGAGACAGATGCCACAGTCTACATGAATTTCATGAAGAGTCACCGCTGCTATGACACTATTCCAATCAGCTGTAAACTGGTCATATTTGATACCACACTACAAGTAAGACTGCAGCTATGTAACACATACATAACAACAACTAACTCATATATCTGGTATCTGTTACTGAAATGCAGAGGAGTTTGATTTACAAACTACACTATGTAACACATACATAACAACAACTAGCTCATATATCTGGTATCTCTTACTGAAATGCAGAGAAGTTTGATTTACAAACTACGTTTTTTGCTTGTAAAAGCACTCACGCTGATTTATTAATTTACCTACTTCAAAAGTTGAAAAAGGCCTTTTTTGCACTGGTGGCAAATGGCTTGAGGGCTGCACCTCTATGGGACAGCAAGCTGCAGAGATTTGTAGGTAGGACAAAAAAAATCATTGGCATAGTCATGCAAAAGTAATGGTCATTGTGAATTATTCAACTTGGAACATAAATCCTTTTCTGTCACAGGTATGCTGACTATTACAGATTTCATTAATATCCTCCATCGCTATTACAAGTCTCCGATGGTGAGCATGAATACACTACAGTTTTTCTGGTGTTATCTTCATTCTATTTTAAAATAGCATGGACATCATAAATCACACAGATTATTATTTGACACCACATGCCAATATTATGATCCACAGACTGTCATGAAAGCAAGTTTGTTTGAGCAGCACAGAGTATTTGAGACATGAGCTACCTCAGTGGTAGAAGTACAACAAAGTGAGAAACTCCCACCATTGACAGAACATGTTTATGATTGACTCATGCCCTGACATTATGGTTTCCCTCTGAAGGTTCAGATGTACGAGCTGGAGAATCACAAGATTGAGACCTGGAGAGGTGATTCATTTCAAAGTAAATAACCAGCATGGGCCAATGGTATTATCTCTGTGCACACATCTCTGAATTTCCTTTACACCACCATCTCTTCTTTTCTGTAGATGTCTACTTACAGTATTACAGCCCCTTCCTAATTAGTATTTCTCCAGAGGCCAGGTGAGTGCACATAACACTCTCAGATCTAAGTTTTGGTAGAAGTTTTAACAGTTTACATTCCAGTCAACTGCCTATACTGTCAGGAAATAACTTCCTGTTGTCTCTTCTACCCTTTCCTCTTAGCCTTTTTGATGCCATCTATTCCTTACTCAAATATAAGATCCACAGACTGCCCATCATCGATCCGGAGTCTGGAAATATCTTGCACATTCTGACCCATAAAAGAATCCTCAAGTTTCTCCATATATTTGTGAGCAAGCATTGATTCAGATTCACTTTGTCATAACCTTGCCAAAAAAAACAGGAGTCTGCCATCAGTGTTCTCCTTCTGACGTATGGATGTTTTCAGGGAAAAAGAGTTCCCAAGCCTGCATTCATTTTGAGGCAGATCCAGGAGCTTGGGATTGGAACCTTCAGGAACATTGCCACTGTTCAGCAAACTGCATCAGTCTATGATGCCCTCTCCATATTTGTGGAAAGGCGGGTGTCTGCACTGCCGGTGGTGGATGAACAAGGTTTGCTCTTGAGGAATTTGTTTTTAAACATTATACATTATAAAGCTGTTTTTTTTTTTATTATCGATGCCTATTACAACATTCAACATGTTTTTCAGGAAAAGTGGTGGCGTTGTATTCAAGATTTGATGTGATTGTAAGTGCTATAGAGAAATCTAACATCCCATGTCACTGTTTTGTTAAACTACTCTTTTTGCCATGTACACGGTCCAAAACCCTGTAGTTTCCTATTCTTGCAAATTGCTGTTCTGTTCACTGACACCTGCAGTGTCTGTGTGTGCTCCCTGGCAGAATCTAGCAGCCCAGAAGACTTACAATAATCTGGACATGACAATGCAGGAGGCAGTTCGCAGGCGCATGTGTTTTGTTGAGGGAGTAATCAAGTGCCATCCTGATGAAACCCTGGAAACTATCATAGAGCGTATAGTCAAAGCTGAGGCAGGTGTTTTCTTCAGACATTTTAGATTGCTTATAAAATAATCAACATTAGAGATTGTAATTGTAATGTTCCTACATATCCTAGGTCCATCGGCTGGTCCTGGTGGACAGGCTTGATGTGGTGAAGGGCATCATCTCTCTGTCTGACCTGCTGCAGGCCATGGTCTTAACCCCTGCAGGTATTGATGCCCTTTTGTCGTAGCACCAGGGGACAGAGGCTCCCCTTCCCTTCTTTGCCACCTGTGTAGGCTTGAGTCCTAACAGTGTACTGAGGTAGGTAGGCTCTGGAGCTTCTTTTCCATTGCAACAATCCTCCAACAGCTCCCTCCCACCATGTTATCTGATTACAACACCCAGAGGCATTGACCCTCCTTGTCATCTTGTGTTTCTCAGCACAATAAAAACATTCTGCTGCTTTCACAACAGTTCCAAATGAGCTATTGTGCAAATGACCAGGTCTTGCACACAAAGACTTGCATGTGCATGCACACTCACACAACCCGGGCTGCTTGACTACGTAGATGCTTTGCTTCATTTTCTGTCAACTCTTGTGATAGTTGCTGAGTAATGGTAGCTTTTGTTTGTCTTCCAGAAATTGACATATGGTTGAAATGAGAGATCACAAAAGAAAGAAAAATGTCCTGTGTGCTGCTGTTTACATTGTCTTCTGTGATCTCAATTTAAGTAACATAAATGGACAGTGATCTGAAAATGTGAGGATTCTCTAAAGGTCTCCAGCACAATGTCCATATTAGCTGCATTTGATCAAATTGATCAGTATATGTTTGTCTGTAGTGTATACTTCTCTATTAAACATTTGTATCAAAACCTGCTAGTGTGAGGTCTTTTCTTTGTATATGTGGAGAAATGTAGTGGGCTGCCAGAGCTGTCCCTTTAATAGAGAGTTTAGAGATAAAACTAGTAATTGTCACTATTAGCTATACAGGTATTGGATATAAGAAAAGAAGAAGAATATTTGAACATACACTGTCAAACGTTTGGACACACTTTCCAATTGAACTGACCGGGAAAGTGTGTCCAAACGTTTGACTGGCAACAGTACTATCAAAATATACAGGATATAGAGCAGTAGTAGTGGTAGAACTGTTAGCATGACTCTGGACATGTCGGGGAGAGTTTTCAGTGGTTATATGTAGGACTGAATCTACAACCACCCAGTGTTACGACTGAGCGTTAGCCCCATCATCTTTATACAGTAAACAATGAAACACGTGACCACATTTTTTTCTCATCCGTGGAAGGGCCTTGTGATTCCCCGCCCATCTCTGTTATTGGTAGGCCCATATGAAGCCGCCAGAAATGATCAAGAATAAGACCGAAAGTCGATATTGCATTCAAAATAAAATCTGACTTAAAATCTTTGTAATTAATCTTTAATAAAATGATTGCTAGGCATTAATGTAAATATAAAGTCTGTAAAACAAACTGCATGCTTTTTGTATTAGAGTTTGTAAACTTTGAGTTTCTTAACAGCGGCATTTTTGCAATTGGCTTAATTCATTAGGTCTAATATATAAAAATTTATATATGCATAAAACTAAAAAATAAATGACATTCTTTGCCCTTCATTGTCACAGTGGTACTCTGTGAACCTCTTGCCATATGGAACCTTTTTTAATTTCAAAATCAGTACCACATCCTTTTTAGTGTTCAGCTTGCACTGGATATATATGTCATGTTCCAAAACCTGTTTTTATCGATCAAACAAATCTCTTTTAAGCTTTTTCACTTTGGTACTTTGTGGACTTGTTTGTGCTTAGGCTATATATTATTGTCTTTATTTTTATTTGTCTTTTTTGGGATGGTCTCCTTAATTGCCTTTCTGGGTTTTCTGTCTCCAGGACAATCCCTTTTTATTTTGAAGGTAGTAACCGGAAGCTTAATGTTTTTAAATCGGTAAAACTTGACTCTGATCTTTCTATATACCCCGTGCTCTCCAAAACAACATAAGAAAGTGGTGTAAAACATGGCGAGTGGAGAGGAGGCTGAAAGACGCCCCTCGGTTTCCTCCTCTTCGGTTGTCCTGGAGGCTTTGTTCCCTGCTGGCTCATCGGAGCAGGCCTGTGTGGAGGGAAACCCGGAGCTCGTGCGCCTACGGGAGCGTCTACAGGGTTGGTTATCGCAGTACGAGCTCCTGCTGCTATGGGTGCAGAGGCTGCTGGTCTGGGAGAGGCCGTTGTACAGCATCTGTGTCGCCCTGACACTCAACACATTATTCTGGTAACTGCTAACCGTCGATTCATGTTATTTAGTAACGCGATAAGTTTGCAGTGAAGTGTATCATTAGCTAATAAGATAACGTCAGCGAGAAATATCACGATAAATTGGCTAATCTCACGTTTTAGCCTAATGCTAACGTATGTGGCAGCGAGTTCAAATTTAATTTTCTGCACGGAAAATTTGACGTCCTGTATTAAACTGTAAGGAAAAACATTACTGAGCTGACAAAATAGATAAACAGAGTTATTTTGAGTTGTTACACCTGTTCGCTTTAATCCCAACAAATACTCATGTCATGCTGAGTGTCCCAGGCCTCGTTAACCCGCTGTCAGTAATACATTGCCTCATACTCAAAAAGGCCAAGAGGTGGTAGGTAGATTATAACGTGTAATTTGTTAGTGAGCTTCTTGGCATTATATGCATGTTTACTATATTTGTCTGTGTTGAACATATGACAGTTGTCGATCTGTTTATGTTTGTCTCCACAGG